GGAAGATTTTTGTTGAACATGTAAGTGTTAAGGAACAGGTATAACTAATAAAATGTAGAAATACAGGAAGGTTTTTGTTGAGCATGCAAGTGTTAAGGAACAGGTATAACTAATAAAATGTAGAAATACAGGAAGGTTTTTGTTGAGCATGTAAGTGTTAAGGAACAGGTAGAACTAATAAAATGTAGAAATACAGGAAGGTTTTTGTTGACCATGTAAGTGTTAAGGAACAGGTATAACTAATAAAATGTAGAAATACAGGAAGGTTTTTGTTGACAATGTAAGTGTTAAGGAACAGGTAGAACTAATAAAATGTTTATGTAAAGGAAACAAAACATAACTTCACACAAGAAGAGAAAATATGAAATAATACTCTTGTGTTGAATCCATTCTAGTTTGAAAAAACTGTTGAATAATAACTTCTGATCAGCTATGTACTTCGAGTGAAACTAAAAATCAACCCAGTCATTGTTGTAGCTCATTCAATTTACATTTTAATATACTTGCTTAATTCAATTTACATTTTAATATACTTGCTTATTAAGATTAGAATACATTGTTTCATCACTTGTGTATCCATAAATCCAATAATACCTCACAAGGTTCTGTCAGCTTATGAGATTTTTGTTAGTCGTAAATACTAAATAATAAAATGATATAATATCTGACCTTACTATTATGATATAACAAGGCTAAATATAATAAAATGATATAATATCTGACCTTATTATTATGATATAACAAGGCTAAATATAATAAAATTATGGGTCAAAGTAATGTTTGAACCAGTAGTGGTATCATAATTATTATCAGTTGTTGTTTTCACAAACATGTAGCTTTTTATGTTGTCCAGATAACTTTATAAACCACAGAAACAGCCTTTTTCTGTATGCCAAGTGTTGGACAAGAATGTTATACTAGAACGATCTATTTTTTGTACATGCTATATGTTGAATGGGAATGTTATACTAGAACATTGTTAGATCTATTTTTGTACATGCTATATGTTGAATGGGAATGTTATACTAGAACATTGTTAGATCTATTTTTGTACATGCTAGATGTTGAATGGGAATGTTATACTATAACATTGTTAGATCTATTTTTGTACATGCTATATGTTGAACGGGAATGTTATACTAGAACGATCTATTTTTGTACATGCTATATGTTGAATGGGAATGTTATACTGGAACGATCTATTTTTGTACATGCTACATGTTGAACGGGAATGTTATACTAGAACATTGTTAGATCTAGTTCAAGCACATGTTAACATTCTACTTACAGTGGGTTCTGTGTGAACAAGCTTGCTACCACCAGTCCATGGTGATTATACCTCTCTACGATACTTTAGGATTATATGCTTGTACTTTCATCATCAATCAAGGTAATAGTCATCTTATCAAATTCTCATTGTTTAAATTATATTATTTCAGTTCACTAACAGGATTTTAACCTTGTTATCTCTCTCTCTTTTTGAAATTTGTAACAGAATTTGACTGGTTGTGTATCACAGTTTTATATGTATGGTTCTTTACTATATCTACATTTCACCTCTCATATATCAAACAGCTTTGTGTTTTAAACTTGGAAGTTCTTGGCAAACAGGGTCCATAGTTATTATTCTTTTGTTTTGAATTTTTTAGGTTATGTTTAGCTGTGTTAAATATAATGGTGTAAATAATAATTAATTAAATGTACATGTATTATTTTCTAAGGCCAAACTGTTAGATATTCTGCATGTAGGAGGCAACGTTTTACCAGTGCACTTAAATAAACACTAGTGTGAGTAAAGTTTTAAAGCAGTTATGTTGTTACTTTACCATACTACAACTTAGAGTAAATCACAGGAAACAGCATTACAATTGAATGTGGGAATTTTCTCAAAATACTATCAATTCAAAACCCTGTACCGTTAATTTATATCCTTGTGCTTTTTTTATCTTATTTTTATATACATTGGTTTGTGTTTAGTGATTATTCTCATTTGCTATAGTTTTATGAATTACTGTTTTTACAGCAACCCTAGAGTTTCATGTAAAAACAGCAATATGAAAGGTTGACATGACTTGTTGTCTGTGTGAAAATGTCGCTGTCGATCATTTAGTCATAACATCTTTGCAATCCCTCCCCCAAAAACAAAGGGACCTGGGGGTTCAGAAAGTTCTGGAGAGACATAGTCATTAAAGCTGTTACTTATAGTGCTTCAGACCGTGTAGTGGAGATGAGAAAGCATCTGTAAAATACCTTGTCAAAAAATTCATCATAAAATGTAACAAATATATGTTGTTCTTCTTTTACATAAGCATGTCAGGAAATACATTGTTATAAAAATGGTTTTGGAAAAAATAAAAGCCCATTGGTCTCATGGTGCATTAGCAGGTTACTTGTATACTCTTCTTTTTATTAGAGTACTAATATATATTCATGGTTCTTGATAACCTGGAACCACACGTGAATTTCCTAATTTATACACAAGAATCACATCATACGGTTACATTCATGCACAGATATGTTGGTGTGTGCAGATGAAAAAGTAAAAAACAAATCTGTAATTTTAGTGTTCTGACACTTTTAATGGCCAAGTAAACGCTGATGTCAATCACGTTAACGTTGTGAAGTGGCTGTTCAATACACATACATAGTATACATTACAAACTGGGTTAACCCATGTATACAGTAGCTGAGTTCGTGGTTTCCTGTTTGTGCAGAGACCTATCTCTGAAATGAGAGTGATATTAGGTTGATTTGTGGATGAGCTGTTAAGCAGATGACTCTTTAATTGGTCCCATTTAATTAGTCTGCACGTACACGTTTTGTAATCAAAACAAATGTTAATTGGATTATTAAGCAACTTGTTTACAAGATGGTTGATAAGTGGTAATGAGCTCTTACTTGTTGCACCTCTGAAGGCAGACTAACCCGCAGTCAGCTTGGTTGTTACACTAATGGATACCTACTTGGACTCGTAATTATTACATAATGGTTACACATGTTTGTTTGAAAGATTCCAAAATCATCTTCCCCTCAGAATTTGACACCCAAGGGATTTCACTCCTAATTCTGAGATCTGGTTAGGAGAAGAAATGATTCTTGTGTTGTTTTATATTTTTGATACTTCATTGATCTTGTTAATGTATAAAAACTGATAGACTTAATCCAGTGAAACATTTTTTAGTTTTCAGTAAAATAATCATTGTGTATAACAAATTGTAATTTTAATATATGAAACACTTTAAACATTTTATTTCTTAACTTTTAATCAGTCAACGGCACATGTCTTGAAGATTTTTTTCTTGTTTATTTTATAGCCGAGATAAATACTATCATCTGTGACACAGAAGAAAAGGTCATCACATTATTAAATGAATCTTCCAAAACTACTACATTAAAACAGATAGTAGTCTTTCACCCTGTGTCTGAGGATACCAAAACAAAAGCTAAAAACTCTGGTATTCGGCTCTTACTGTTGAAAGATGTGGAGGTACTCTTTTGATAATTTAATTTTATTTCTGTCCGCTTATTTTGAACACATATTTCATTATTTTAATGTTTCAAACTAAAATGCTAAAATTTTGAGATAAATTTAATAAATAGTGTAAAGTTTAATAAGTATACTGTTAAGATATTTTAAAATAATATCCTGCTATTAGTTTTACTAATGAAGACTTAAGAAATATTTTTTCACCCTAAACAGTTTCTAGCAAGATTGAACAACATGATCTCATTAATTTTGAACTTTTTAAGAAACGATTGAGTGGTTCAAAAAATGGTAATGCAAGATATTATTTACTCTAGGGCTTTAAAGGTGGCTAAAGATTGGATATGTGAACCACTTGCTACTGTATTGTTGCAAATTTTTGAATAGTGAGCAAGAGCCATAGAACTGTAAGTTGGCTAATGTTACTCCTCCTTTCAAGAGAGGATACATGTTGTTTTGATAATTATAGGCCTGTTAACCTTACCTCAGCGGTGAGAAAAGTCATTTAACAACATGGATAGTTAACATGGTTTCACTAGGGGAAAATATTATCTTATTATTTTTTTTACCTTCTTTGAAGAGGGTACTGCTTATTTAAATAAGGATATAGGTGTGGATTTCGTTTACCTGGATTTTCAGAAAGCATTTGACAAGGTACCATGTAAAAGTCTCGTAAAAAGTAACATCTATAGGTGTTGAGTATAGATTCATTGGATAGAAAAGTGGCTTGATGGAAGAAAGCAGAGGGTTGTTATAAGTGAAGTTCAGTCAAACTGGATTAATGTGGGGTACCTCAGGGCTCAATATTAGGAACTCTGCTCTTTTTGATTTACATCGATGACATAGATGGAGTAGTAGTTAGTAAATTTGTTGAATTTGCTGATGATAAAGGTCTGGTGGTGTTGGCTGAGATGAGGATGCTGCTGCTCTACCAAAGGGTTTGGATTATGTGGTAAGTTGTGCAAGTAAATGGCAGATGTCTTTTAATTCTAATAAATGCAAAGTAATGCATGTGGGATATCTCAGTTTGAATTATGAGTGTAATTTGGATGGAAATAACCTTAACGTTGTTATGAATGGAAAGAATCTAGGTGTTCTGACTGATTAGTCTCTTAAACCATTCAAGCAATGTGCTGTTGCTAGTGGTAGGGTAAATAGGATTTTAGGTTGTATGCACAGAAATATTTAATACAAGAGATTATAATTTCATTGTATAGGTCACTGGTTAGGCTGTATTTTGAAGTACTCTATTCAGTCTTGGGCTACTTACTTTAGGAAGGAGATTGAATTGTTGGGTGATACCTGGGATGGAAAAGTTGTCATTCAAGGATAGGTTAAGATCTCTGAACTTGTTTTCTCTTGAAACAAAGAAGAATTAGAGGGGATCTGGTTCAGGTGTTTAAGGGAATTGTTACTGTTGGTGCATCATGTTTTTGTCATAATTAATGATGAGAATTGTAGGACTAGGGGACACAAATATAAATTTTGGCAGAGTAAGAGTCATCTTCGTCTTAGACAACTTTATTTTTTTAACAGGATGGTTGCCTTCAGGTGTGGTGGATACAATACATTTAATGGAGTTTATGGGAAACCTTGATAAGTATTTGAATATAGGTTTTTAGTACATTTAGTGAAATAGATGGGATAACCAAGATGCACTAACAAGTGCCCTGTTGTCCTTATGTTAAAATTCACAGCATTAGTTTAATATCTGTTTTTATATGTAAGTAATTTGTTGTTGTTTTTGTAGGAAGCTGGCAAGGCCAATCCAATTGAATCAAATGTGAGTTAAAGTATTGTTTAATTTCTTTGATTGAACATTTTAGTAATACTTAAATTAATGACTTTAAAAGATTTGTAAAGTTTATTTGTTTTTATTATTTTTTACTGGTGTTAAGTATAATAAGAATTAGGTGACTTAGATGTATGAAAGTTTTGTAATGAAAGTGACCTTTGTGATTCTGAACAACAGTGTTCTAGCTAACCTTCCTTTGTGTTGTTATTAAACTGACCTTTGTGGTTCTGAACAACAGTGTTCTAGCTAACCTTCCTTTGTGTTGTTATTAAACTGACCTTTGTGGTTCTGAACAACAGTGTTCTAGCTAACCTTCCTTTGTGTTGTTATTAAACTGACCTTTGTGGTTCTGAACAACAGTGTTCTAGCTAACCTTCCTTTGTGTTGTTATTAAACTGACCTTTGTGGTTCTGAACAACAGTGTTCTAGCTAACTTTCCTAAATTTATAACACTTTGTGTTATTATTAAACTGACCTTTGTGATTCTGAACAACAGTGTTCTAGCTAATGTTCCTAAATGTACAACACTTTGTGTTGTTATTAAACTGACCTTTGTGATTCTGAACAACAGTGTTCAGGCTAACCTTCCTAAATCTATAACACTTTCTGTTGTTATTAAACTGATCTTTGTGATTCTGAACAACAGATTCTAAGTACTATAGTCTATAGCCAATACTCCTAAATGTATAAAAATTTCTTATTATTAAACTGATCTTTATGATTCTGAGTACTATAGTCTATAGCCAATACTCCTAAATGTATAAACAGTTCTTATTATTAAACTGATCTTTGTGATTAGGCTATAGACTATAGTACTTAGAATCATAAATATCAGTTTAATAATAAGAACTGTTTATACATTTAGGAGTATTGGCTATAGACTATAGTACTGAGAATCATAAAGATCAGTTAATAATAAGAACTGTTTATACATTTAGGAGTATTGGCTATAGACTATAGTGCTCAGAATCAAATACTCCTAAATGTATAAATTTCTTATTATTAAACTGATCGTTATGATTCTCAGTACTATAGTCTATAGCCAATACTCCTAAATGTATAAAAATTTCTTATTATTAAACTGATCTTTATGATTCTGAGTACTATAGTCTATAGCCAATACTCCTAAATGTATAAACAGTTCTTATTATTAAACTGATCTTTGTGATTCTGAGTACTATAGTCTTTTAGCCAATAAAAATCATTGTTTTTATAAAACTGGTCTCTATGATTATTGCAACTGCTAGCCTCCCAAGCCAACTGATTTGGCAGTTGTATGTTATACCAGTGGAACTACTGGAAATCCAAAGGGTGTGATGCTAACCCATGGCCAAATCATAGCGAATGTGTCGGCTGTTATGCACCAGTTGGTGAGTTGTTTCTTCTGGCTTAACGTAAGAACTTGTAGTCTAACCTGTATAGTACAGTATAAATTATTATAACCTGACAGTTTTGTTGTCATATAGGTTAACCTTCGATGGGTTGTTGATAAACAAAAGTTTTAATATTTATTTCTACTTACTTTGCTGGTGGCACATTGACAGTTCAGTTAGTTAACTTTTGAATATAAACTGATAATGATAATGGATGTGAACAGAAATTGAAAATAAGCCAGCTGGAAAGACCTGTTGAGTTTTAATTAATGACAAAAGAAGTTTCGTTGTCTTGTTTTCATCAAGATTACATTAATTGTGATGGAGTGTTTTTATTTTTTGATAGGGGGAACAAGCACCAAACTCCAGTGACATAATGCTTTCTTTTCTTCCTCTGGCTCACATGTTTGAGAGATGTTGTGAGGTTTGTGAATATAGTTTAATGATTGTTATCAACAGCTGTTTATAATATAGTTCCATTTAAAAACTAGTTGATGTCTTTATTTTTAATGTTTAAATGTAAATTTTATATGGTATTATTTTCTGTAAGCTTTATTAATTACAAACCTTATAAAAATCAAATGGTGTAATTTTGATATTATGCTAGATATGCATAAAATTATGTTAAGAAGGATTTTGATGAAACAGTAAAATGTACTCGTTATTAATATAAGGCTTTCTTGTAAAACATTATGAGATTTTATGTTTAAAATAAGTTTGTGTTGCATTTCTTCTTTTAGTTACCTGCTTGTTTCACTTATGTTGGTTTGGTGTAAGTAGGTTTTAATTCTTGACTTGTTTGAGATATGGATTCTTCTTCAGTGAGTACTTGAAGTGCTATTTTTTTCTCCATATATATATATATATGTAATTTTTGTACACCAAAAAAACAACAACTTAAATACAGATCTAAATAGCACTAAAATAAGAATAAAGTTGATTGTCTTGGCAGCAATAGCTTGAATAACAAACCCCTTTGATACACATGGCACTGATATGCTTGTGTTATTTTAATCTCTCACGTTTAGTTTGAAAGGAGTTAAATGTTCACTAGCTTGATATATTCATAAAACCTACGATAGATATCATATAGAGATCCTTTCACTGTTACATTAGTGTTTAGCTGGTGATCATATAAAGATCCTTTCAGTGTTACATCAGTGTTTAGCCAGTGAGCATATAAAGATCCTTACAGTGTTACAGCAGTGTTTAGCCAGTGATCATATAAAGATCCTTTCAGTGTTACAGCAGTGTTTAGCCAGTGATCATATAAAGATCCGTTTACTGTTACAGCAGTGTTTAGCCAGTGATCATATAAGGATCCTTTCAGTGTTACAGCAGTGTTTAGCCAGTGATCATATAAAGATCCTTTCAGTGTTACAGCAGTGTTTAGCCAGTGATCATATAAAGATCCTTTCAGTGTTACAGCAGTGTTTAGCTGGTGATCATGTAAAGATCCTTTCACTGTTACAGCAGTGTTTAGCTGGTGATCATGTAAAGATCCTTTCACTGTTAAATCAGTGTTTAGCTGGAGATCATATAAAGATCCTTTCAGTGTTATATCAGTGTTTAGCCAGTGATCATATAAAGATCCTTTCAGTGTTACAGCAGTGTTTCTTCCATGGAACTTTTTGTAATTCTTCTATAATCTTGTAGCTATTGCTACATAGTTGAAAGGCCACTTATATAGGTCGTTTTTGAATTCATGGATTTATACTTTGTTTTGTTACATCGTATTAATTATATTTAGTACTGAAAAACCACTTTCACAACATTTTCAATCCTACTACCATCAGAGAAATGATTTATTTATCTTGTAATATGTACATACACAACCTACCTCATTGGCATCCAGTATTCATAATGTATTAATTTGATGTTCTTGGATCATAGGAAGGGAAATCTCTTGTTCAAGCCAACATATAGTTGGTTCTGTTTTTTTTTCCAGTTTTATCATGGCTAAGTAGATAGAAATATGGAGTAAAGTTGTGAATGTTGGATGTGGTGTATACAACATCTGTACTCTGTTGTAGATTAGTAGAAGGGTCAACAGATTTGAGAAAGGAAGTGAGAGTATACTCTCTAACATTGAGAAACCAAGTCTTATGAGAATTTTGATTATAGTTTTAGTTTTAAGACAGACCATTATTATTATGGTCATTACAAGTAATCAACTCAAAAATCAAACAAACAAGTACTTTGTGGGACAGAGTTACGTGGTAAGGAAGTGTAATTAGTACCCTGCCGGACAGACAGAGTTACATGTTAAGGAAGTTTAATTGATACTTTGCGGGACAGAGTTACATGTTAAGGAAGTTTAATTGATACTTTGTGGGACAGACAGAGTTACGTGTTAAAGAAGTGTAATTAGTACCTTGTGGAACAGAGTTGCATGGTAAGGAAGTGTAATTAGTACCTTGTGGGACAGACAGAGTTACGTGTTAAAGAAGTGTAATTAGTACCTTGTGGAACAGAGTTGCATGTTAAGGAAGTGTAATTAGTACCTTGCCGGAGAGAGTTGCATGTTAAGGAAGTGTAATTAGTACCTTGTGGAACAGAGTTGCATGGTAAGGAAGTGTAATTAGTACCTTGTGGGACAGACAGAGTTACATGTTAAGGAAGTTTAATTGATACTTTGTGGGACAGAGTTACATGTTAAGAAACTGTAATTAGTACCCTGCCGGACAGACAGAGTTACATGTTAAGGAACTGTAATTAGTACCCTGCCGGACAGACAGAGTTACATGTTAAGGAAGTGTAATTAGTACCTTGTGGGGACAGAGTTGCATGTTAAGGAAGTGTAATTAGTACCCTGCCGGACAGACAGAGTTACATGTTAAGGAAGTGTAATTAGTACCTTGTGGGACAGAGTTACATGTTAAGGAAGTGTAATTAGTACCTTGTGGAACAGAGTTGCATGTTAAGGAAGTGTAATCAGTACCTTGCTGGACAGAGTTGCATGTTAAGGAAGTGTAATTTGTACGTTGTGGGACATAGTTGCATGTTAAGGAAGTGTAATTAGTACCTTGTGGGACAGACAGAGTTACGTGTTAAAGAAGTGTAATTAGTACCTTGTGGAACAGAGTTGCATGTTAAGGAAGTGTAATTAGTACCTTGTGGGACAGAGTTGCATGTTAAGGAAGTGTAATTACTACCTTGCCGGACAGACAGAGTTGCATGTTAAGGAAGTGTAATTAGTACCTTGTGGGACAGACAGAGTTACGTGTTAAAGAAGTGTAATTAGTACCTTGTGGAACAGAGTTGCATGGTAAGGAAGTGTAATTAGTACCTTGCCGGAGAGAGTTGCATGTTAAGGAAGTGTAATTAGTACCTTGTGGGACAGAGAGAGTTACGTGTTAAGGAAGTTTAATTAGTACCTTGCCGGTCAGACAGAGTTGCATGTTAAGGAAGTTTAATTACTACCTTGCCGGACAGAGTTACATGTTAAGGAAGTGTAGTGATGGTGTCATCCGTGTTACTAAACAGTGGTAACAAGATATGATGATTTAGTCAGTGGTAGAGTATCTAACTGAAAATATCCAGTGATGGTGTCATCCGTGTTACTAAACAGTGGTAACAGCTAATTCAGCATAGAGTAGATTTGTCTGTTCTTGTATTAAAGCGGCTGATACGTAACCATGTTTCAGTACAATTAAATGCCATATTTAGAGCCAGTTTGATTGTCTACCTACTTAGTGAAAATCATTATATTTCACTTAATCCCCTTCTTTCTTTTTTTTTTTTTACTAATATTTATATACAAAGAAATTCACACTATTTTGAACACGTGTTGAATGAAGTCTATGTTAATTGCTCAGTGTATGAGTGGCCCACAGTATCTTTATTCTTGTTGTCATATTTTCTGTAACTATATAATTTAAGAGCTAATAATATAGTTGGTTTATTGAATCATATTTTTTTTCTGAGAATTTTAATAAGGAAAATTTGTATTTATTGTGAAAATTGTCTTAAATAGATCAAAATAATTGTGTTTATAATATGCCTCTCGTATCCCATTAAAGTTTGAAACTTTGTTACTTTAGATTGGAATTTTCATTGGTGGAGGAAGAATTGGTTTCTACATGGGGGACATCAGGAAGCTTCCGGACGATATGGAGGCATTAAAACCAACAGTTTTGCCAGTTGTGCCTCGACTTCTTAACAGGATTTATGACAAGGTTAGAGAAGTTTATTTTGAATTGAAATGAAACTTAAATCTTAGCTTGGTCATTTTCACAAGTGTTATACCCACATTATAACTATGAAACAATTATTATTGTATCTTCACTTGTGTTACACCCACATTATAACTATGAAACAATTATTATTGTGTCTTCACTAGTGTTATACCCACATTATAACTATGAAACAATTATTATTGTATCTTCACTAGTGTTATACCCACTTTATAACTATGAAACAATTATTATTGTATCTTCACTAGTGTTATACCCACTTTATAACTATGAAACAATTATTATTGTATCTTCACTAGTGTTATACCCACTTTATAACTATGCAACAATTATTATTGTG